CATATGCGCTAATGGCTACATCATGAACTTTTTCTAATTCATCCACAGCATTGCCGAGACTGAATTCAAATTCATCAAAGAATGTATTTAGCTGCCCAACAATTTCAACTTCTTCAACCGCCACACCAGTAAACTCAATGTCAGCTTTGGTGTAAGGAGGAAGTGAGTCCTTGTGTTCCTTAAAGATGTTATCCATGTATTTGTGTAGTCGGAAGAAACTTGGGTCGCGGGTGGCAGTCTCAAAGTGTTCCATCACACCGGGAGGCATGTTGAATTTGCCATGGGGATCACCTTGTCGACCAAGCATTATGTGAGCAGTGTTGTGCAGTGCACCATAATACTGGGCGTTGGGGCTGTACACGGATGATTCAATGATGTCCCCGAGGACGTCAATGCCATGATCATTCCTGATATTGATGTTATCACCATGATTGTCGGTCACGTAACCGTGAGCAATGGCGTCACGAATGCGACTCTCGATGATAATCATGTCACGCACGTGAGCTACACCGTCCACATCCTCAAAGTGTACGTTGTCAGGACGTGCAGGGAACTCACCACCATACTTGTAGCTGGTATGTGGTGCAAAACCTTCATGAATAATACGCTCCCAGTGAAGCTCGTCAACTGGGTCTAGCCAGTTAGAGAGGCGCTCAGCGTCAAAGCGTACAGTGAGTTGATGATGGGCCCAGAAGAATAGCTCGCCCTTGCGATCAAGATGGTAACCATAGGAGTCCTTCCACCAGAAGGGGAAGTCCATATGCCAAGTAACGTGGTGAATATTGAGGCCAATGTCCTCACCGAAGTAGGCCACTCTTTGTTCCTTGTTCTTTTTCGTCCCTGTGAATTTCATCTCAAACCTGCCTGGTGTCTGGGTCATCTTGGCAGTGTAAGCCTTGTGGATGATTTCACTGTTGGTGAACATATGGGGAGTGATTTCGTAGAGTGGAGGTAATACAATCCCTTGTCCCAACTCAGAGTGGATAACTGCTGTATAGAGTGCGTAAGCGAATTCTCCTTCATTCATACGTTCACGGAAGAAGGCGGCATTGTCAACAAAGCACTCCCAAGACTTGCAGTGCATCAGGACATCAAAAAGCATGAGAGCTTCTTCACGCTGGCGAGGGTTAAAAAGAGAGAACCAATGATGCTGCTCCAAGAATCTGTGATCATTGAGCTCTTCCATAAGATGATGGGCGGCTGTGCCACCATCTGTATACATGGAAGTGTCAGCCTCAGGGCTGAAGGTCTCGGAGATTTGCTTCAGGTCGGAATAATGAAGATGGTCGTAAATTCTATCCAGCAGATGGTTGACATCCTGTTGTCTCTTGGCTGTACTGTCACCTACAAAAATTCGGGAATACATTCTAGTTATTAATAAAATCAACGAAAATGTTATGTTCAGGGACAATATTATTTATGTATTGTGCTATTCTCTGGAACAAATCTGTGTTTAATCGATGATACATTAGTGCCATATCTTAGTTGCATAGATGTGTACATATGTAGAAAGTTTTCCCTTTATATATATATATATATATATATATATATATATATATATATATATATAATATAATATATATATATATATATATATATATATATTATTAATATATATATATATATATATATAATATATATATATATATATATATATATATATATATATATATATATATATATATATATATATATATATATAAGTCAGGGAGGGGAGAAGTGTTAAATGACAGTGAAGAAATAAGCAAAGCATTGAACAGCTACTTCTTATCAGTTTTCACAGAAGAAATTTGAGATGAAATTCTAGAGGTGGAACTGATATTTAAAGGAAAGGAAGAAGAGAAATTAAAGAATATCACTATTAGAAAAGAGGATGTTCTTAAGAAGATAAATAAACTAAAGAAAACAAAATCCCCAGGGCTGGATGAAATTTTCCCTCGAGTCTTGAAAGAGTGTAGGGAACAGATTAGCGGACCCCTCGTAAACTTATTGACAAAATGATTAGACACTGGAGTTGTGCCAGACTTGTGGAAACAGGCAAATGTAGTACCCATATTCAAAAAGGGAGACAGAGCATCAGCGTCAAATTACCGGCCGATCAGTTTGACGTCAGTAGTGGGGAAATTTCTTGAATCAATTATAGCAGATAGCATCCGATAGCATCTAGAGAAAAGCAAATTAATCTACGATTCTCAACATGGGTTTACAAAGGGAAACTTTTGTCTAACAAATCTGCTAACTTTTTTAGGAAAGTCTTCGAGGTAGTAGATAATGACGAAAATTACGATGTTATTTACTTAGACTTTAGCAAAGCATTTGACAGAGTACCGCATCAGAGGCTTCTGAGAAAAGTTAAGGCTCATGATATCGAGGGGAAGTTTTAAATTGGATAAAATCATGGCTCACCGATAGAACGCAGAGGGTCAGCGTAGATGGTGTTAAATCTGAGTGGGTCCGTGTAACCAGTGGGGTTCCCCAGGGGTCAGTACTAGGCCCACTCTTGTTCATAATATACATAAACGATCTAGATACTGGGATCAGCAGTGACATAAGCAAGTTTGCGGATGACACCAAAATAGGGCGGCAAATTAATTCAGGGCAGGATGCAAATGCATTACAGGAGGATCTAAATAAACTGCAGGGGTAGTCTGAAAAATGGCAAATGTAATTCAACACCAGCAAGTGCAGCGTACTTAATATTGGAAGAACAAATACTTATAATGTATACAGCCTTAACAACATCAACCTAGAGAAGTCGACTTGTGAAAGAGACCTAGGGGTACTTGTAAGCCCGGACCTACGGCCTAGAAAACAGTGCGTTAATGTTCGAAATAAGGCAAACAGAGTATTGGGTTTTATATCTAGAAGTGTAAGTAACAAGAGTGCAGAGGTCTTATTGCAACTATATCTTGCGCTAGTCAGGCCGCACCTCGATTATGCGGTTCAGTTCTGGTGCCCCTATTACAGAATGGATATAAATTCACTAGAGTCGGTGCAGCGAAGAATGACAAAAATGATTCCGGGACTTAGAAACCTTCCATATCAGGATAGGTTAAAGAAACTTAACTTGCATTCCCTAGAAAGACGAAGAGTGCGAGGAGATATGATAGAAGTATTTAAGTGAGTGAAAGGAATCAATAAAGGGGATATAGATAAAGTTCTTATAATATCCGAGCAGGATAGGACTCGGAGCAACGGATTCAAGTTGGATAAGTTTAGGTTTAGGAGGGAGATAGGAAGAAACTGGTTCACAAATAGGGTGGTGGACGAGTGGAACCAGCTTAGCAACTTTGTAGTAAGTGCGGGAACTCTGGAAAGTTTCAAAAGGAGGCTAAATAGATTCATGGATGATAGAGAGTGGTAGTAACTCTCGACAGGAGCTGCCATGCACAGGCCAACCGGCCTATTGCAGACTCCTTATTTTCTTATGTTCTTATGTTCTTATAATCATATGTGAATGTGACTGTGCCTCTGTATTTAGGTATATTCGGATGTATGCGTCTCAATGTGTGCGGTCACATGTGCTTCATTACGTGTATAGGCATTAATCTGCACTTCTTTATGCAGGGTAAATTCCGTGTTTTTTTTAGAAAGCCGTAAAGATATGAGAATTGTTTTCAGTGTACAATAGTAAGATATTTGCTCACCGGAAGCGTCGTTCTGGTAGCTGAAGCTTGGCCAGGCAGCAGCCGCGGCCACCAGTGTGCACAAGATGAGGACCTTCATGATGATGGTGGTTGTGAAGTGTCGTACTACCCTCTTATATACTCCTCCTCACTCGCCCTGATGATTACCTCTTATCAGCTCTGAGAACTTTTATGCTTGAAATCTGATTGTCAACACGTTCTTATCTCTAACCTTCGTGTCTCTACTGTATGTTCGATTGGTACTTGTTGCTAAATGAGTTCAAGTCATTTCAAATATGTTCATACAATATTTTTGTCCCTCTGTCTTTCACCACTCTATCTTATGATTAAAACTTTCAGAATAAGTTTTGGTAAACATTGTTAGTCATCTAAGTTCTGAAATTGTATAAATACCATGTACAAATTTCATAAAATAACTACTTTACATGCATATCAATTTCAAATGCCATCGAAAAGTTAAATATCAAAGTATTTTTCAATTAAGAATAATTTAATACCACAAAATACATGATGACAGAAACTTGAGGATTATTAATATTACGCAAATGCTTTTGGACCAGGGGTCTGCAACCTTTATACACTAGTCGGCCACCTAATGGTGCAAGTAATCAGCAATCAGCTGCAGGTGTACTAGGCCAACAAAAGTCAGCACTGCGTTCCACAGAATTGAATGTAAAATCAGAAATGCAGGACGATATTTTATTGTGAGAAAGCTGTTATAAACATCAGTGCTATTTAACACTAAACATAGCTTTCATTTTCAGCAAATACATATTCTGCATTGAAATAATCGCACTAGTCGCCTATTAAAATATAAATATGAAATATAAAATCGCCTATTAAAATATTCTGTAACGAAAGTAGGGAAACATAACTTTTAGCAATACAAAATATGGAAATATAAAACTGTTTTCGAGCAGTACAAAATTTAGACACCACTCAGACGGCCGCAAACGTACCCCTTTCTGGCCGCATGTGGCCGTAAAAATGGGGGTTGCAGACCCCTTTTTTAGAGGGTTGAAAATATTCATATGACGAAGACTTTCTGATGTCTTGAGAAAAAATATCGATATACATTTACCTGAGTAAATGGACACGTCTTATTGGTATCGATAAGTATACGATGCAAGTTTTAATTATGAGTTAGAGTGACGAAAGACAGAGGGCAGAAATATGAACGAAGACATTTAAAGGGCTGAGAAATCATATAGCAACAGATACCAATCTAAAATGAGGACATGAAGGCTAGAGACAAGAAAGTGTTGTCAAGCAGATCATTAGCATAAAAGTTCCCCGAGCTGATAAGAGGTAACTATTAGGACGAGTGAGGAGGAGTATATAAGAGGGTGGTACGACACTTCACAACCACCATCACCATGAAGGTCCTCATCTTGTGCACACTGGTGGCCGCGGCTGCTGCCTGGCCAAGCTTCAGCTACCAGAACGACGCCTCCGGTGAGCAAATATCTTACTATTGTACACTGAAAACAATTCTCACAATTTTACCTCTTTCTAAAAAGCACGGATTTTACGCTGCATATATTTTACAAGGTGCAGAGTAAAGCATATAAGCATAATGGAGTACATGCGACTGCACATATACGTTTATACCTAATAGTTGTCCCTCGTGTAATGAGGATGGCCGGCCCAAGGGCCATCTAGGCGTGAATTTGTTTAAGGTGTAGATGCTGTCGCCAACACAACAACCACACCCTGAATTAACGAGCTGCATGACCCAGTGTCAAGGAATAGTCAGTAAGACCCTAAGCACATGTGCACATTCACATTCGCTGCAGATGTTTATGTTCCACACACACACACACACACACACACACTTTAATGAACTTTAATGTTGATTTGTATGAACTGATCCCCAATAAAAAAGTCAGATTAGTTGATTTGTTAATCTTAATACAACTGTGCCAACGCGGGGATCCAGCATTTGTACACTTATTACCTACAGTAGACCAACAGTAAAAGAGGAAATATTTATTTTGATAATTAATACAATATTTTTCTTATAAAGAATTATGAATATCTTACATTCAACCTAATGCTTCGTCATGAAGGTTGAAAAAAATATATGCTGCAGTATGGATAATTCAGATGACTGTCAATCACAAAAGTGATGCTCCATAAAAAATGATATTATATAAAACAAAATTCTTAACAGTTAAACCAGACCATCGAAGTGATAAAACAAAAGCAAAACTCAAGGCACTCGTAAACTACTAACTAATAAGTATATGAGCCAACTAATTTACACCAACACTTAGGTAATTTGTTAAAATACCAACCATTTTATCTACCATGTACATGGAGCTACCAGCCATTTTAACTACCATGTACATGGAGCTACCAGCCATTTTACTACCATGTACATGGAGCTACCAGCCATTTTAACTACCATGTACAGTACATGGAGGTAACTTATAGAAAGTTTAGTTAAAAATGGCTGATTTAATTATCAACCAATTTTTGGAACTTTGTGACTAAACGTGCAAATGATTTAAATTAGTCTACTGATAATCAGCTTCCAATTACATATTTCATAAAGATTATTGTGGCACCGCTGTTTATCAATCAATATTTTATTGTATTACATAAGAACATACGAATGTAAGAAAGGAAGAAACTGCAGCTGACCTATTGGCCCATATTGGGCAGTCCCGTTTTCACCCAACTCCTATCGCTCACCTATCCATCCAACCTATGTTTGAAGCTATCCAGCATATTAGAATTAATGATGATGTTTGGTAACTTGTTCCAGTCATCCACTACTCAATAATAAACCAGGGTTTACCTATTTCGCGCCTAAATTTAAATTTGTCTAATCAAAAACCATTGCTACGAGTTCGCTCCTGATTGGATACTCTGAGTACCTTTGTAATATCACTTTTTTTAGTCCAGACTATCCATTTATGCACCTCGGTCATATCTCACCTCATTTTACTTCTCGAAAGAGTGCAAATTAAGATGCTTTAACTTGTCTCTGTACTCAAGATTCCTAATGCCCGGGGTTAGTCTTGTCATTCTCCTGTGAATTCTTTTTCGGGATTTTATATCCATTCTGTAATACGGTCTACCAGACCTGAACCGCGTAATCCAAGTGAGGTCTCACAAGCGCCAGGTATAGTTTTAGGAGAACCTCGCTAGTCTTGTAACTAACACCATTTTGTTTGAACCCAAGTACTTTGTTAGCATTGTTTCGAGCAAATACACATTGTTGAGTAGGTTTAAGATTCCTACTTATCATCACTCCTAGATCTTTCTCAGTCGGATTTCTCTATAACAACATTGTTCATTTGATATCTGGTTTCTTTGTTTACATCTTCTCGGTTAAGTACTTTACATTTGCCCACATTAAATTTCAACTGCCATTTTCAGATCATGCGAGATTTTTTTTTTTTTAGATATTCCTGTAGTTTTAATTACACGCCTTATTTTAGTGTCAGCAGCAAATTTACTTATGTTGCTGTCTACGCCTATATCTATGTTTTTTTTATGTATATAATAAATAGTAATGGTCCAAGTACTGAGTCTTGGGAGTGAGTAACGTTACCCCAATCGGATTTCGTGCCGCTAATGCTTACTCGCTGTTTCCTGTCCTGTAACCACGCCCAAATCCATTTAGAATATCTCCTCCAATTCCAACACCCTCCACTTTTCGTATTAGTTTTTCGTGGCGGGGAGGGGGAGGGACTCTATCGAAGGATTTGCTAAAGTCGAGTTATACTACATCATAACCGTGTATGTCACCTGATTCGAAAACAGTTGAAAAGAATGTTAATAGATTAGTCAGACATGAACTCCCACTCGTGAAGCCATGTTGGGAATCATTAGTCAACTTGTGCTTCTCCAGGTGATATCGAATGGAGTTTGAAATTAATGCTTTCTGCAATTTTCCTACAATTGATGTTAAACTGATTGGGCGGTAGTTAGAGGATAGTGATCTATTTCCCTTCTTGAAAGTCGGTATCACATTCGTTGTCCTCCAGGATTCTGGTATTAAGAACATAAGAACATAAGAAAATAAGGAGTCTACAATAGGCCGGTTGGCCTGTGCATGGCAGCTCCTGTCGAGAGTTACTACCACTCTCTATCATCCATGAATCTATCTAGTCTCCTTTTGAAACTTTCCAGAGTACCCGCACTTACTACAAAGTTGCTAAGCTTGTTCCACTCGTCCACCACCATATTTGTGAACCAGTTTCTTCCTATCTCCCTCCTAAACCTAAACTTATCCTACTTGAATCCGTTGCTCCGAGTCCTATCCTGCTCGGATATTATAAGAACTTTATCTATATCCCCTTTATTGATTCCTTTCACCCACTTGAATACTTCTAACATATCTCCCCGCACTCTTCGTCTTTCTAGGGAATGCAAGTTAAGTTTCTTTAACCTATCCTGATATGGAAGGTTTCTAAGTCCCGGAATCATTTTTGTCATTCTTCGCTGCACCGACTCTAGTGAATTTATATCCATTCTGTAATAGGGGCACCAGAACTGAACCGCATAATCGAGGTGCGGCCTGACTAGCGCAAGATATAGTTGCAATAAGACCTCTGCACTCTTGTTACTTACACTTCTAGATATAAAACCCAATACTCTGTTTGCCGTATTTCGAACATTAACGCACTGTTTTCTAGGCCGTAGGTCCGGGCTTACAAGTACCCCTAGGTCTCTTTCACAAGTCGACTTCTCTAGGTTGATGTTGTTAAGGCTGTATACATTATAAGTATTTGTTCTTCCAATATTAAGTACGCTGCACTTGCTGGTGTTGAATTTCATTTGCCATTTTTCAGACCACCCCTGCAGTTTATTTAGATCCTCCTGTAATGCATTTGCATCCTGCCCTGAATTAATTTGCCGCCCTATTTTGGTGTCATCCGCAAACTTGCTTATGTCACTGCTGATCCCAGTATTACACTCGTTTTAATGACATGTTAAACAAATTTGCTCAGGGCATACTAATCTCTTCCTTACATTCGTTTAATACTCTGGCATATATTACATAACCATTAGACAGACAGACAGACAGACAGACAGTCACACACACACACACACACACACACACACACACACACTCACACTCACAACTAATATACAAACACTTGCATACACATATGCATGCAAACAAACACATATACGTATATAAATATGCACAGACCCACAAGAACATCATCTTTCAGCTCTATTCTCATTACCTATAAAACTCAATCACATCGTCATTAAAGTCATGTATGTATCGTAAAAGTTAATAATTAGACATTCTTTCAATGGTTGCTCTATATACTGTAGCAGCCTCCATCTCAGTACTATAAGCTCCAGTGGTAATTACTACAATATTTCTCTAAGGACGTTATTTATGTCAAGCATACAGTAAGCCTTTTCGTACACCAGAAAGCTTGAGCAAATTAAACATGCTTTAGTATAATACAAATGAATATCTGTGAAAGAAGGGAAGCTATATGAAAAAGTTTTGTTATTAACCCCCCCCCCCTCAAAAAAAATCATTGGCAGTTAAACTCATACAAGGAAAGTCATAAACTATCTAAAAAAATTAAAAATTCTGATTAACTTGCCCGTAGATTATAAATATACACGTTAACTACTACCCGTATTTGCGAAGTTACTTCCGTCGACATTTAGGAAATTTGTGAATATGCCTGTTATGTAAATAACCATGAATATTGAGGTAACTTGTGGCTGTGCATATTTCATATATATTATTATTATTATGTCATCAAACCCTTCCCTGATCATTACATTGCAATCTACTTTACTGTAATAGGTACAAGGATGCATCCCCCCCCCCCCAGTATTTCAGTAAACTGACGTAGCTCTTACAAATTTATTTTTTCTTTTTGTAGGTGACAGTACAGCCAAGAGACAACAAGATGTCAACCATCTGCTGGATAGAATTTACGACCATCTTCATTATTCCGACCTGAAGCAAATCTCCGACACCTTTAGCCCTGAGGCTGACACTTCCATGTATACAGATGGTGGCGCAGCCGCACATCATCTTATGGAAGAGCTCAATGATCACAGATTGTTGGAGCAGCATCATTGGTTCTCTCTTTTTAACCCACGCCAGCGTGAAGAAGCTCTCATGCTTTTTGATGTCCTGATGCACTGCAAGTCTTGGGAGTGCTTTGTTGACAATGCCGCCTTCTTCCGTGAACGTATGAATGAAGGGGAATTCGCCTACGCACTCTATACAGCAGTTATCCACTCTGAGTTGGGACAAGGGATTGCATTACCTCCACTCTATGAAATCACTCCCCATATGTTCACCAACAGCGAAATCATCCACAAGGCTTACACTGCCAAGATGACCCAGACACCAGGCAGGTTTGAGATGAAATTCACAGGGACGAAAAAGAACAAGGAACAAAGAGTGGCCTACTTCGGTGAGGACATTGGCCTCAATATTCACCACGTTACTTGGCATATGGACTTCCCCTTCTGGTGGAAGGACTCCTATGGCTACCATCTTGATCGCAAGGGCGAGCTATTCTTCTGGGCCCATCATCAACTCACTGTACGCTTTGACGCTGAGCGCCTCTCTAACTGGCTAGACCCAGTTGACGAGCTACACTGGGAGCGTACTATTCATGAAGGTTTTGCACCACATACCAGCTACAAGTATGGTGGTGAGTTCCCTGCACGTCCTGACAACGTTCACTTTGAGGATGTGGACGGTGTAGCTCATGTGCGTGACATGATTATCATCGAGAGTCGCATTCGTGACGCCATTGCTCACGGTTACGTGACCGATAGGGATGGTCACCACATCAACATCAGGAACGATCACGGTATTGACGTCCTCGGGGACATCATCGAATCATCCGTGTACAGCCCCAACGCCCAGTATTATGGTGCACTGCACAACACAGCTCACATAATGCTTGGCCGACAAGGTGATCCCCATGGCAAGTTCAACATGCCTCCCGGTGTGATGGAACACTTTGAGACTGCCACCCGCGACCCAAGCTTCTTCCGACTTCACAAATACATGGATAACATCTTTAAGGAACACAAGGACTCTCTTCCTCCTTACACCAAATCTGACATTGAGTTCCCTGGTGTGGCGGTTGACAAAATTGAAATTATTGGGCAACTAAAGACATTCTTTGATGAATTTGAATTCAGTCTCGGCAATGCTGTGGATGAATCTAAGGATGTTCAAGATGTGGCCATTAGCGCCTATGTTCACCGTCTCAACCATGAAGAATTTACTTACAAAATTCAGGTCATAAACAACAATGATAATGGCGTGCTGGCCACTGTCCGCATCTTCTTATGTCCATCACAGGACAGTAACGGCATCGATATTCATTTGTCGGAAGGACACTGGTCCTGCATTGAGATGGACAAGTTCTACAAAAAATGTGAGTTCCTTTTAATTTCTCAGACTTTATATATATATATATATATATATATATATATATATATATATATATATATATATATATATATATATATATATATATATAATATGATTTTACTTACAGAAATATTGGGCAAAGTTTAAAATCTTAAATAATCCTAAAAGCCATACGTTCTAAGCATGTAATGAAAATTATTTAATTTATTTCTCTCCACACAGTAAACACTGGATTAAACGATATCGAACGCAAGTCTACCGAGTCTACGGTGACTGTTCCTGATTACTTGAGCTTAGCCGAACTTCAGGAAAGGACTGACCAGGCCGTAGCCAGCGGCAGCGAGCTTGATCTGCACGAGTACGAGCGATCATGTGGCCTTCCTGCCAGATTGCTCCTGCCTAAGGGAAAAGTCAACGGTATGGACTTCGACCTGTTCGTGGCTGTGACCAACGGTGATGAGGATAAAGTCACAGACCATCCCGAGACTGACGAACACGGCGGCACCCACGCTCAATGTGGCTCCCATGGTGAAAAATATCCAGACAAGAAGCCCATGGGCTACCCATTAGAACGCAGCATTCCCGATGAACGAGTCTTCCATGATGTTGCTAATATTAAAGTCGCCCATGTGAAGGTATTCTTTGACGAAAATCATTAAATAATTTGAAAAAAATAATATTACAATGTCAAAATTATGATGTAAACCTATTTATGTTGTTTTAAATTTAAAGTTATTTGAACATATTATGATTGTTCGCCATTAGCTATCATTATTTGCTGTAAGGAGGTTATCTGTTATGCCATTGGAAAGATAATTTTTAACTTCATTGAAAGTGATGTTTAAGAGAATTACTTCATCATAGAAATAGTCTTCAAAAATATTAAAAATATACCAAACATGAACTTTTATTGTAAGCCTATACTAACACTATATTTTGTCACCAAATGTACTGAATCGTTGTCTTATGTGAGTATTTAGCCATAAAAAAGTCTTGGTGGTTATGAAAATCATACCATCTGTGCAGGTACTGTAGTATAGTAAAGACAATTATAAATGTTATCATGCTTTAGTTTAGTTTAACAAGTTTATTGACAAAGCTTGGAGTACAGTTTGCCTATTCTGAGTAATACAGTCAGGTCTTATATATATATATATATATATATATATATATATATATATATATATATATATATATATATATATATATATATATATATATATATATATATATATATGTAATATTCAGAAATTTCAGAGTAATTTCAAATGCCCCGCCATTAGCGATACTGAGCGTTCAAGGTCATCTGAGGGGAGAGAGCGCTGCCTGCTCATAGCGAGAGATTGCGGAACTAGGCCTATATGATATTAAATGTAATTTACCGAATTAATAATGATGCGATTCATGAAGTTAAGGGACTATTATTGAATTTGAAATTATTATAGATCGTTTAGCAGTCTGAATAATGTTACGGGTGTCCCAAGGAGTTATTAGTTAGGCGGATAATATGTCACGTAGACCTAAGCTAACGCCTTGAGGAGACGCGACGCTGCCTCTCTCTCAGTCGCGGGAAGCACTCACACAAACAAGACGTCCCTGCGCGTCTGCCACAGAAATAGTCACGTGGCCTAGTCACCTGTGCTGCGCTATTGCAGTATAACAAGTAAGTCTCATTCGATCTCAGACAGGGTTAGATATATATATATATATATATATATATATATATATATATATATATATATATATATATATATATATATATATATATATGCAAGTAAATCACTGTAGGTGGCGTGATCTAGGTATATGCTGATAACCACAATTGGTTGCATTTATAAAGTTCCTTACAAGGAATGTAATATGTTTTACTTAGGCCAGACAGGTAAAGATCTTGCAACTAGAATTAAACAACACAAATACAGTGTTAGGACAGGCCAGGAATCCAATGCTCTGTTTGTTCATTTGAGGAATAACAAGCATTGCATTGACTGGGATAATGCCTCCTCAATATTACCATGTAATTCAATTGATAGTAGGAACATCATAGAATCTAGTCTTATTAAACATACCGAAGCATTCAACATGAATTTGAGTAACGGCATGTACAAGCTGGACAATTTTGTAATTAAGAAGATTTGTGATCAGGTGAGAAGGCCGGGTCACTTGACCATCTGACCTGACCACCAACCGTTGTGTGCTATTTAAAGATTAGTAGGGTCATTACCTAATACCTGACCATTGTGGACCTGGTCTCACCCTCCTCTGTATATATACACCTTGATTTGTATTACTCTCTCTAGTCTGTACTCACCCCTGAAGATGTGAATTACACGAAAGCGCTTGGGAACTTCGTGTTTTCTTCTTTCCTTGTGGTTACCCAGCATATACCTAGATATATATATATATATATATATATATATATATATATATATATATATATATATATATATATATATACATATATATATGTGTATATATATATATATATATATATATATATGTATATGTATATATATATATATATATATATATATATATATATATATATATATATACTCAGAAATTTCAGAGAAATTTCAGAATGCCACCATTAGCAACACTGAGCGTTCATAGGGAGGGAAAAGCGCTGCCTGCTCATAGCGAGAGATTGCAGAACTAGGCCTATATGATATTAAATGTAATTTGCCGAATTAATAATGATGCGATTCATGAAGTTAAGGGACTATTATTGAATTTGAAATTATTATAGATCGTTTATCAGTCTGAATAATGTTACGGGTGTCCCAAGGAATTATTAGTTAGGCGGAAAATATGTCACGTAGGCCTAAGCTAACGCCTTGAGAGGAGAAGCGACGCTGGCTGGCCCTCAGTCACGGGGAGCATTCAGACATACGAGACGTCCCTGCGCGTCCGTCACAGAAATAGTCACGTGGCCTAGTCACCTGTGCTGGGCTATTGCAGTATAACAAGTAAGTCTCATTCAATCTCAGACAGGGTTTAGATAGGGCAGTGATAAAGTGAACTAGAGCTAACAGTGAGTTCATTTCAGGGTTTCCGTCAGAACCCACTTGACCGGAGTTGACGGGAGTTGACTGCGAGAATTGACTGCCGTTTGAGACTGCGTTGATGATTGAGGGTGGCGATTGTCGCCATTGGACCGATCAGTGTAGGCCTGTCACTGTTTAGCGGGGTAACAAAGGATCTCTTGAGTGAGCAGTGCTCCGACAACTAAAGCTTGACACGGGACCAGCATCAGCAGTGGGTGATCAGTTCTTACCACGTGGGTGCACAACACCACATGTCCTCGGTCAGCTAGAAGTGTTACCTACTGGCCATAGACACCTGCTGGCGTTCTCTCTTCCTGCCCATGGACGCACTGGGAGTACACTGAGGCTATCTGAGTAAATTAATGGTCACACAATGAGACCATGAGTCTAGGTCTCTAAAGAGATACCTAGAGAACATTTTCTCTCCATATTTGGGTGTAGTTGATACCATTTCTCAGTTACTGATATTATATTGACGTGTGTAGTTTAATATTTCTTAAATAATTTTGATAGTATAGTTTTTTGAATGTTTGTGTCATTAAGTGGAACCAGAGTGATACTGTGATTTGATTCTTTTAATGCATCTAATTTTTCTTCATAATTCTGATCTCAGGTATAACCTTTGTTCCCAAGAGTAGTGGTTAAGTTAGGTTAGGAAGTGTGCATCTGTTGGGGTGATATTATTTTGTTGAAAGCCCTTAAGGCCTATTCATTGTAGAGTATTTAATTTCTTATTTTTTATTACCATTTCCTCAGTGACTGATATTATTTTGTTGAAAGTCCTTCAGGCCTATTCATTGTAGCGTATTTAATTTCTTATTTTTTAATACCATTTCCTAAGTGACTGATATTATTTTGTGAAAGCCCTTAAGGCCTGTTTCATGTGTGCAAGCAACATTTCTTAATACTTCAAATTTATTGTTGCCTGAGTTTCTAATAATTTCTATATCATGTATAACTTTTATTCCCCAGAGTAGTGTTTTAAGTTCAAGTTAAGAGGTGCATATTGGTGTACCATTATTTGATTGTGTTTGTAGTGTTGGAGGGAATATAAGTGTCTAAATTTTACAGTGTGTCTCATTCATCCCAGTCACAGACGCTATCCTTCCACAGGTCACGGACAATTCATTTTGTTTAGTAGATTTAAGTGTTCTTGTGCTGGTTCGGAATTTTCTCAAAGGGGCGCTTCCACTGCCATTACCATCTTATAATCTTAATAAACCCCAAGTCCAGTAAATTCCGACCGGTTACATATATATATATATAAATATATATATATATATATATATATATATCTTGATAAAATCACGGGAAAAATGGAAACAACGGGCACCTTAGCTTTCGTCTTTATTCAAGACATCTTCAGAGGCAACTGGACTACATGGACAGAGGCTTAAATATACAGAATTTGACCTTTGATAAAGTATTTAAGGTTAAAATGCTTTGAAAAACCTTTGATCACCAGATGTATGATAGTTATTTTGTGGGTCCTTATTTTGACCTGACCTGACTAGTCCCGTCGCCCCCTTCTCTCTTAAGCTCCTCTACGTGTGTTGGTGTTGGTGTGGGGATTAGTGGATGACTTCATTATGACCTGACCTCATGTTTAATAAGGTCACCCTGTATATTTAAGCCTCTCTCTGTCCATGTAATTCAGTTGCCTCTGAATATGTCTTGAATAAAGACAAAAGCTAAGGTGCTCCGTTGTTTCCCTTTTCCCGTGTGATTTTATCAAGATTTATCTTATCCACGTTTTCATTGTGGATCTACATGATATATATATATATATATATATATATATATATATATATATATATATATATATATATATATATATATATATATATATATAATCAACGACCTCACCAGCCAGGATTCGAACCCTCGACCTACTGGGTGGGACTAGGGAACGCTACCGACCAACCCACAAGGACACTAAAATTATATGTTCAAAGTCGCGTGTTATATGGACTAAAAATGAAGAAAATGCCTGTGTCATCCAGCTGATGGCTTTCGAAGTATATATATGGTACCTCGTGTTTCATACCAGCTGGATTCGGTAAAATGCTACTGACACCACATACGAGGCACGGGCAGTTCCCAATGAGGTTCACGGCGCCATCAGCTCGATGAACAGGCTTTGTGTGAAATATAACAGAGTCTAGGACTGCTTTTAGTGTCCTTGTGGGTTGGTCGGTAGCATTCCCTAGTCCCACCCAGTAGGTCGAGGATTCGATTCCTGGCTGGTGAGGTCGTTGATTATATGTTCAAAGTCCGCGTGTTATATGGACTAAAAATGAAGTATATATATATATATATATATATATATATATATATATATATATATATATATATATATATATATATATATATATATATATCAGATTCATGTGGGTGATGTCACTGTTCACTGCCATGCAGGACAGAGATTCGTACACAAAGAAATGCATCATATTCATTAGCAGTATATATATAGGTCAGATTCATGTGGGTAATGTCACTGTTCACTGTCATGCAGGACAGAGATTCGTACACAAAGAAATGCATCATATTCATTAGCAGTATATATCGGTCAGTGTCATGTGGATGATGTCACCGTTCGCTGCCATGCAAGACAGTGGTTCATATACATTGGACGTCATATTCTAATTGAAGACTAATCAGTGTGGGCTAGCAAATTTGGGATAAATAGCAAGAATGTCCCCAAGCATCCCCGATTCAATGTAGTAATTACAAAGTTCATGATACAATAAGCCAGGTGGCCTGAAGTCTTTGACAGTGTCACATTCAATAATATAGTGTTCACCTGTATGCTTTAAATGTTTATCACAAAGTTTACATGCTGAGTGTT